AGTAGAGATGGGGTTTCACCTATTGACCAGGCTAGTCTCCAACTCCTGACCTCAAGATATCCACCCACCTTGGCCTTCCAAAGTGCTGGGATTACAGGTGTGAGCCACCATGCTCAACTGTTCTATTCTGTTTCATTCCATATTTTTTCACTGAAAACAAAGGTCAAAACCCACTAAACTGATTTCATAAATCAATAATGGGTCAAGGCTAGCAGTTTGAAAAATATAAGACTTTAGGCATTTGAATTGTTAATCTAAGCTGATCTGCGCTCTCTGCATACAATACAAACTGCAGTGGACCCTGGCACCAGTGAAGTACCCAATGCTAAGGGGAGACATAGCTGGCTGCCCTCCCACATCCATTCTCTCCTCCTTCCTGACTATGTGGTGGCTCAACTTGAGTTTCCCAGCTTCCTTTGTGGCAAGATGGGACCATGTGACTAAGTTTCACCAATTAAATGTAAGTGGAAATGACTGTGTGACTCTGCACTATTTGGTTAAAAGAAAAATCACTTGCTCTGAACTTCTTCCCTTTCCCCTTCCTGTCCAGAACCTAGTATGACAACAACCTGACTTTGACCATGCAGAGGAGGAGAATGGCCTAAAGCAGAGGCCAGAAAACTACCGTCCATGAAACAAATATGGGCTAGATGCAGTGGCTCATGCCTGTAACCCCAGCACTTTGGGAGGCAGAGGCAGGCGGATCATCTGGTCAGGAGTATGACATCAGCCTGGCCAACACACTGAAACCCCATCTCTACTAAAAATACAAAAATTAGCCAGGTGTGATGGTGCTCACCTATAATCTCAGCTACTCAGGAGGCTGAGGCAGGAGGATCACTTGAACCTGGGAGGCAGAGGTTGCAGTGAGCCAAGATCATGCCATTGCATTCCAGCCTGGGTGACAGAGTAACAAATGTGGCCCACCACCTATCTGGGTAAATAAAGTTTTATTGAAACAGAGCCAAGTACATTTTTTGTATGTATTATCTATGGCTGTTTGGGGGATACAATGGTACATTTGAGCAGTTGCAATGGAAACAGTAGGTCCTACAAAGCCAAAAATATTTGCTATCTGGCTTTTTATAGTGAAGGTTTGCCAGTCCCTGCCCTAGAAGGTGCAGAGCCACCTGTCAGCAAGGTTCCTGGATGAGTTCCTAGAGCAGAGAATGCACCCTTTCATGGACTGTTGTGTGAGAGAAAAATAAATTTTATCTTGCTTAAGCCTCCACATTTTAGAGTCAATTTGTCACAGTAGTTTACCTTTGCCTGATCTAATACACTTTCTGATCCTGTCAACCTCCAGCTGCACAATCCTCCCAGGCTAGAGTTGTCACTGTCCTCTCAAGGCTCGCAGCACAGCATTTGGTTCATTGTACTGAACCCACGTGTTCCTGGATCTACCTTCACGTAGATGACTATGCTCGTCAAAAATAGAGACTCACACAAAAAAGAAACAACAGATACTGGGGCCTACCTGAGGGTGCTGGGTCGGAGGAGGAAGAGGATTAAAAAGACTGCCTATCCAGCAATTAAGAGCTTACCACCCAAAAAAAGCCCAGGTCCAGATGGGTTCACAGCTGAATTCTACCAGACATACAAAGAGGAGCTGGTACCATTTCTTCTGAAACTATTCCAAACAATACAAAAAGAGGGAATTCTTCCCAAATCATTTTATGACACTAACATCATCCTGATTCCAAAACCCGGCAGAGACTCAACAAGAAAAGAAAACTTCAGGCCAATATCCATGATGAACATAGATGCAAAAATCTTCAATAAAATACTGACAAGCCGATTGCAACAGCACATCAAAAAGCTTATCCACCATGATCAAGTAGGCTTCATCCCGGGGATGCAAGGCTGGTTCAACATACGCAGGTCTAGAAACGTAATTCACCACATAAACAGAACCAAAGACAAAAACCACATGATTATCTCAATTGATGCAGAGAAGGCCTTTGACAAAATTCAACAGCCCTTTATGCTAAAAACCCTCAATAAGCTAGGTATCGATGGAATGTATCTCAAAACAATAAAAGCTATTTATGACAAACCAACAGCCAATATCATACTGAATGGGCAAAAACTGGAAGCATTTCCCTTGAAATGTGGCACCAGGCAAGGATGCCCGCTCTCACCACTGCTATTCAATATAGTATTAGAAGTTCTAGCCAGAGCAATCAGGAAAGAAAAAGAAATAAAGGGTATTCAAATAGGAAAGGAGGAAGTCAAACTGTCTCTATTTGCAGACGACATGATTGTATATCTAGAAGACCCCATCGTCTCAGCCCCAAACCTCCTGAAACTGATAAGCAAGTTCAGCAAAGTCTCAGGATACAAAATCAATGTGCAAAAATCAAATGCATTCCTATACACCAATAACAGACTTAAAGAGAGCCAAATCAAGAACAAACTTCCATTCACAATTGCCACAAAGAGAATAAAATACCTAGGAATACAACTAACAAGGAATGTAAAGGACCTCTTCAAGGAGAACTACAAGCCACTGCTCAACGAAATAAGAGAGGACACAAACAGATGGAGAAACATTCCATGTTCATGGTTAGGAAGAATCAATATCGTGAAAATGGCCATACTGCCCAAAGTAATTTACAGATTCAATGCTATCCCCATCAAGCTACCAATGACCTTCTTCGCAGAACTGGAAAAAACCACCTTAAACTTCATATGGAACCAAAAGAGAGCCCGCATAGCCAAGTCAATTCTAAGCAAAAAGAACAAAGCGGGGGGCATCACACTACCAGACTTCAAACTATACTACAAGGCTACAGTAATCAAAACAGCATGGTACTGGTACCAAAACAGAGATATAGACCAATGGAACAGAACAGAGGTCTCGGAGGCAACACAACATATCTACAACCATCTGATCTTTGACAAACCAGTCAAAAACAAGCAATGGGGAAAGGATTCCCTGTTCAATAAATGGTGTTGGGAAAGCTGGCTAGCCATGTGCAGAAAGCAGAAACTGGACCCCTTCCTGACACCTTACACTAAAATTAACTCCAGATGGATTAAAGACTTAAACATAAGACCTAACACCATAAAAACCCTAGAAGAAAATCTAGGCAAAACCATTCGGGACATAGGTGTAGGCAAGGACTTCATGACCAAAACACCAAAAGCATTGACAACAAAAGCCAGAATAGACAAATGAGACCTAATCAAACTCCACAGCTTCTGCACAGCAAAAGAAACAATCATTAGAGTGAATCGGCAACCAACAGATTGGGAAAAAATTTTTGCAGTTTACCCATCTGACAAAGGGCTGATATCCAAAATTTACAAAGAACTAAAACAGATTTACAAGAAAAAAACTAACAAGCCCATTCAAAAGTGGGCAAAGGATATGAACAGATACTTTACAAAAGAAGACATACGTGAAGCCAACAAACATATGAAAAAATGCTCATCATCACTGGTCATCAGAGAAATGCAAATCAAAACTACATTGAGATACCATCTCACGCCAGTTAGAATGGCGATTATTAAAAAATCTGGAGACAACAGATGCTGGAGAGGATGTGGAGAAATAGGAACACTTTTACACTGTTGGTGGGAGTGTAAAGTAGTGCAACCATTGTGGAAGACAGTGTGGCGATTCCTCAAGGACATAGAAATAGAAATTCCATTTGACCCAGCAATCCCATTACTGGGTATATATCCAAAGGATTACAAATCGTTCTACTATAAGGACATGTGCACACGAATGTTCATTGCAGCACTGTTTACAGTAGCAAAGACCTGGAACCAACCCAAATGCCCATCGACGATAGACTGGATAGGGAAAATGTGGCACATATACACCATGGAATATTATGCAGCCATCAAAAACGATGAGTTTGTGTCCTTTGTAGGGACATGGATGAACCTGGAAACCATCATTCTCAGCAAACTGACAGAAGAGCAGAAGATCAAACACCGCATGTTCTCACTCATAGGCGGGTGTTGAACAATGAGAACACATGGACACAGGGAGGGGAGCACTACACACTGGGGTCAGTTGTGGGGAAATAGGGGAGGGAGGGTGGGGGGTGGGAAGCTGGGGAGAGATAGCAAGGGGAGAAATGTCAGATGTAGGTGATGGGGAAGAAGGCAGCAAATCACACTGCCATGTGTGTTCCTATGCAATAATTTTGCATGTTCTTCACATGTACCCCAAAACCTAAAATGCAATAAAATAAATAAATGGGGGAAAAAAAAAAAAGACTGCCTATCAGATACTATGCTCATTACCCAACTGACAAAATACTCTCTACACCAAAACCGCCACAACATGCAGCTTATTCCTATAACAAACCTGAATACATATCCCCTGAACCCAAAACAAAAGTTCAAAAGAAGATAAAATAGAGACTCTGCATATTCACTTCTGTAACCCAGCACTCAGAAAGATGCCTATCACACAGTAGCCACCCAAAGAGTTGGGTCCCTGAGATGGGAGTGAAGGAAGTTTCCCACATAGGCCTCAAAGGTTTTAGATCACTGCCCCATATTTCTGTGCCCCCCTCGTCCGTACTTCAACCTTATTTTCTCCTTTGTTCCATTGCTGAGAAATTTAGCTGACTTAAGAATTTCCACTAACTCATAGATGAGGCTATTCCAAATCTTGAGTGAGTTCTGGCTTCCTGGGCATGGGTTCTAAATGGCATGAGGACTTGATCTTTCTGGCTGGTCCCACTGTGTAAACTGTAGCTTCCCTGTATACTGTCTTTTCCTTTGGCCATTCAGAATTGATTTTCTCATCACACTTCAAAGTCTGGGGTTCTTTCTACTGCCCTCCAAGTTCCATTCCAAGGAATATATTCAGGTCTCAGTATATCTACTGAGTAGAGGAGAGGGCTCCTCCAAGGAAAGGGCTCCTCCAAGGTCTGTCAATTAAATTAAAAATTAGGCTTAAAAGAATTTTTGCTTGGGAATCCAACATGTACATTTACATAATCTTCAAAGGGGGATAAATTAATGTTTTGACTTACAGCGTTTGAGACTGACAGATATCGATCATAGCTGATGAGGACAATGTTATACACAGATGCTGTACATAAAAGATAGTCAGTAGTGAGCCAGAATACACAGATTTCCTTTCCAAAATCCCATTCGAACACTGTGTGAGGGATGTACAAAGGAATGGAGATCACACCTGCACAGGAAAAACAGAAGAGTAAAAAATTAGTGCAGATCAATGAACACAAAGGGGCATGTTTTAATGGTGACACAACACCATGACATATCTGAATTCGCTACAAATGGTTTGGTTCTAATTTACAAATTCATGGTATTTCATCAAGCAGCTCAGGACAGATTTTCTACACATTCCTTAAATGCCATTTTTCTAAGAAGGGTCATGAACATTGTACAGTTGGCCTCCCTTATCTGTGGATTCTACATCTGTAGATTCAACCAATCACAAAGAGAAAATATTTGGATAAAAACTGCATCTGTACTGGACATGGACAGGCTTTGAGTAATGGTAATGACTTCTGGTCATTATTCTCTAAACAACCCAGTATAACAACTATTTACATAGCACTCACATTGTCTTTGGTATTATATGTAATCTATAGATGATTTAAAGTATATGGGAGGGGCCAGGAGTGGTGGATCACTCCTGTAATCCCAGCACTTTGGGAGACCAAGGTGGGTGGATCACTTGAGACCAGGAGTTCGATCCTGGCCTGGTCGACATGGTGAAACCCCATCTTTATTATTAAAAATAATAACAAATAATAATAAAGTAGACAGAAGGATGTGCATAGGTTACATGCAACTACTACAGCATTTTATATCAGGGACTTCAGTTTTCTTGGATTCTGCTATCTAAGGGGAGTCCTGGAACAAACCCCCCATGGACACCAAGGGGCGACTGTACTTTCAATGGCTCCTTTCTACTTTCCAAATTAAGTACAGGTGTTGTATTTCCAGCCATAGGCAGCATAAATCATGTTTATTTTTTCATGCTCTAACCCAAACAGGATGGACCACCCTTCCCTCAAACACATTGCACATTTTCACATCCCTTTTTTCTTTGCCATCGTCATTCTTTGTTCCTAAAATGTCCATCTGTCTTCTACTAAAAAGTCAATTCAGGCCGGGCACGGTGGCTCAGCCTTTGGGAGGCTGAGGTAGGTGGATCACCCAAGGTCAGGAGTTCAAGACCAGCCTGCCCAACATGGTGAAACCCAGTCTCTACTAAAAATACAAAAATTAGGCGGACATGGTGGCACACACCAATAATCCCAGCTATTCAGGAGGCTGAGGCAGGAGAATCACTTGAACCCAGGAGATGGAGGTTGCAGTGAGTTGAGATTGCACCACTGCACTGCATCCTGGATGACAGAGTGAGACCCTGTCTCAAAAAAATAAAAATAGAAAATAAATAGTCAATTCATTTCCTTCTCATTTTTCACTAAAACCAAAAAGTGACCTCCTCCATGTCCTCTTTCTGGGGGCTTCCTCAGCAGAAGTGACCCCTCTGTCCTCTGCACTTTCCTGGTCCTTTGCTCATCTTTCCCTCTCTCATACATTAATTACTTCTACTTTTATATCATGGTCATCTTTTGAGTCTGCCTCTTCTGAGGATTAGGGCCATCTCACAAATCAATGTCTCCTGCAACCTCTAGAGTTGGCCAATGACTTGTACATTTAACTTAAATTCATAACAGCCAATATGTTTTGCACAATTACCATATGGCAGGCCCTGTGCTGTGTGCATTGCAAGTGTCACCTCATTTCCTCTTCGTAGAAACTTTGTGAGGAAGGGACCATGCTGAGATAACACTTAAAGAACCTGAAGCTCAGAAAAGAGACAATTAGACCAAGGTCCTCTCACTTAGCAAGTGGAGAAGATTTATGTTAAACCAGGCAATGCGATTTTGGAACCTCTAACTTTACCTATGACTCTTCACTGCATGAACAAATAGATAAGCTCTACCACAGTGATTCAGGTCAGTGCAGAAACTGCTTAAGTGACAAGTGACAAAACGAGGTTCCTTTTCCTTTAGCTTTTAGGGTTTTTTAATTGCATTGGCATTTCACAAAGGTGTGATTAGTTGCTGAGAATATGATCTATTAGGTGGAAACTCAGATTAAATCTTATTTTGTTGAGTTTCTTCAAATGTATCAGGCACTTCCAGGAATTCCCATTTTTTCATATGACAACCAAATTAGTCTATCATTAAGAATAATAACAAAGATAAAGGAAAAGGAAAGGAAGAAGGAAAGCCTGCATTCTTCAAAAATAAGACCACATGAGGCTATAATGGCATGGTTTCAGAACCAGTGGAAGGTAGTGCTAAATAAACCCTACTATTCTGTCCCTAGGTTTACATACAAAGACGAAAGACAAGACCCCGTAGAGATGAAGAGTTGCGTGGTCAATTCTTATATGTAGTTCAAATAACCTGTTTGTTTCATGTTTCAATTATATTTTCAATGATAAGTAAACTTCCTCAGGGTGCCTTTCATCTCCTCCAGGGTGAGTGTGTGTATGTCTATGGTATAAAATAGGTCATGAGCTGAGCTTGGTGGCTTATGCCTGTAATCCCGGCACCTTGGAAGGTTGAGGCAGGTAGATCACTTGAGCCCAGGAGTTTGAAACCAGACTGGGCAACATGGAAAAAAACCCATTTCTACAAAGAAAAAAATACAAAAATTAGCTGGACATAGTGGCACATGCCTGTAGTCCCAGCTAATCAGGAGGTTGAGGCAGGAGGATCACTTGAGCAAGGGAGGTCAAGGCTGGAGTGAGCCATGATCACGCCACTGCACTCCAGCCTTGGTGACAGAGTGAGACCCTGCCTTAAAAATAAATAAATACATACATACATACATACATACATAAACACATAAATAAATAAAATAACGTAGGTCACCAATAATGGGTCAAGACTAGCAGTTTGAAAACTGAGACTATAGGCATTTTAATTGTTAATCTAAGCTGATCTGCACTGAAGGAAATAAAAGTATCCACCAAACAGAGACATTTGTTATATTTTAGCCCACGGTTGTGCTTTTCAATGTTCTCAACATGAGGATTTTCTACACTGGCACTCATTTCTTCCACAGAAATGAAAAAGAAGAGAGATGCCAGTCATGCATTCTAGACACCAGTGACTGAGAGGTGAGGGGAGAGGGGGGAGGTAAATGCTCTTTGTCACACGCTTTCTGATTTACACCAAAGAGGAAGGGTGTGTTTGAAAGCGTAGGAGCTGCTGGAAACAGTGGTTGGCTGGAGACAGGCTCTGGGGTATTCCTTTGATTTTCATAACCCCCGCGCTGTGCTGTCACCCTGCGTTCTCTGTAATGCTTCTCTACCTGTGTAATGCACATTTCCTCTGTCTGGTTGAGCAACAGAGATGTCTGTGGCTCATTCCAAAGAAGTTGCAAAAAAAGCATTCCTCCGATATACCTACTCCAAAGTGTTTCTACACCTTCGATTCTGGAATTATGATTTTGGGTCAAATGGAGTTGATAAGTAAAACTAAGAGCCAGTTTCTTGAATAGATTAAGACAAAACTGAAAGAAAACAAACCATATGCCCCACTTTCCCAGTCCCATTCCTACTTCTCACCCCTCAGTCACTCCACCCCAGTCCCTCTGGCCTCCAATGCGCCACACACTCTTCCACCTCAGATCCTGTGCACCTGCTGCTCCTTGGCATGAAATGCTCTTCCCCCAAGGGCACCTTCTGTTTGCTCGAATGTCTTTCTTTTTCGCTTTGTTTTGTTTTATTTTTTGAGGCAGTCCAGTCTGGCTCTGTCACCCAGGCTGGAGTACAGTAGCACTCCACCTCCTGGGTTCAAGTGATTCTCCTGCCTTAGCCTCCTGAGTAGCTGGGATTTCAGGCATGTGCCATCATGCCCAATTAATTTGTGTATTTTTAGTAGAGATAAGAGTTTCATCATATTGGCCAGGCTGGTCTCAAACTCCTGGCCTCAAGTGATCCACCAGCCTTGGCCTTCCAAAGTGCTGGGATTACACATGTGAGCCACAGCTCCTGGCCTTTAAGTGTGTCTTTCTCAGCAAATTCTAGCTCCAAGGTTTAAAATTGCAGCCCCACCCCCAATACACTCCCTCTCCTTCATCTCTGCATTTTTTTCAGTAGCAATTATCAACCTCTAGAATACTATATAATTTGACTTAATTATTTTCCTTGTTTATTGTCTGTCTCCATGCCCCTGCTCCCGGTAGAAATAGAAGCATCACGAGGGCAGGCATTTCCACCTGTATTTTTACTGCTCTATCCCCAGTACCTCAGAAAGTGCCTACTTTAAAATAAATGATTGTTGGATGAACAAATAGATAAGGATGGGGAAGACCAGTTTGCTCTAAAATTGCCACCCATCTGGTATTGTCCCTTCTTTCTAAACCAGCTAAGTAGCTACATCTTCCACAAGAAAATGGCAATTAAGTGGGAGGAGTTAAAATGCCAAGTAAATCTTTTGGGCCACCAGAGGAATGTGTGGATCACGGTGAGTGCACAGAGGGTGTTATGGCCTGAACGTGTATGTACCCAAATTCACATGTTGGAGCCTTAACCCCTCATGTGGCTACATTTGGAACTAAGATCTTTAAGGAAAAAATTAAAGGTAAAAAAGTTAAGAAGAGTAGGGCCCTGATCCAATGGTGTCCTTATAGGAAGAGATAGCAGAGAGCTCGCTCTCTCTCTTTCTTTGCACACTCAGAGAAAGGCCTCCTGAGGGCGCAGGTAGAGGGCAGCCATCTGCAAGCCAGAAAGAGAGCCCTCATCAGGAACGAAAATTGGCCAGAATCTTGAAATGCCCCCCGCTCCAGAACTGTGAGAAAGTAAATGTCAGTTGTTTAAGCCGCCCAGTCTAGGGTATTTTGTTACAGCAGCCTGAGCAGATGAATGCAGAAGGCCAGGAAAGAGTCCTGAACTCGGGCATAGAGATATCAAGATAAACTTTGCCCTCCTGAACATTTGGTTCAGGCTCTGATAGCAGCAACCACCTTTATCCCCTGAAGAACCTATCCAGACATCTGTCACATGGTCACGTAGGCCACAAATGCCAGCACATGTAGATGAGAAGAAGCTACCCATAAATGGAAACACTGGTCACATGATAACACTTTCAGAGATATTGATGTAGATATAGATAGTATGTGTTTCTCAGAATAGTGTACAGATGAGGTGTTATTTATGTATCATCTGGTATAGCTAGTACTAGAATGTTTCCTCAATAAATCTTTGTTTTCAACAATAAATTCAGCCTGAGAAGCTAGCAATTTGGGTGCCACAAATTTAGATTCTCCGCAGAGGGCCAGTTCTGAAACGTGGGAGAAGAGGACGATCAGAAAGAAAGGCCACAGTATCAACCACATGTGAGGTTCTAATCTGCCCTGCCATTGTCACATGGCTCTGGAGCACGGGATCTCACAACCCTAAATGTTAAGAATCAATGGCTTACAGTTGCAGAAAACCTCTTATGAGTTCTGCCCTGCATGCTCACCACCTCCATGCCTTCTTCCAGGCTCAGAGACGAAAGGTTCACTTCCAAGCATGGCAAAAGAGAAAGAACAGCATTGGCAGAAAACTTACATCCTGTTACAAAAAGCTCCCAGGGACTGTGTCATGATGAGCCCTGCGTTAAATATACAGACCTCTGGATGAAGCTGGCACCAGGTGGGAGAGATGTGAGGGATGAGGCTGGCAGATGAATGGAGACTCTGACCTGACCTGCACCCGACTCCTTTAATCAGGAGCAAAAGAAATTATCTGAATTATTTCCTCACCCACCTGCTGATGGAGGAGACCACCATGACTGCTGAATAACTACATCTGCAGGGTCATTTCCCAAAGATAAGCTCAAGCCTTTGAGGGTGGGACTGCCATGATGCTGGCCTTGGGCCAGACATGGAGACATTTTGATCTAGAACAATCTTTTTTTTTTTTTTTTTTTTTTTTGAGACAGAGTTTCGCTCTTGTTGCCCAGGCTGGAATGCAATGGCACGATCTCAGTTCTCAGCAACCTCCGCCTCCTAGGTTCAAGCTATTCTCCTGCCTCAGCCTCCTGAATAGCTGGGATTACAGGCATGCGCCACCATGCCTGGCTAATTTTGTATTTTTAGTAGAGATGGGGTTTCTTCATGTTGGTCAGGCTGGTCTCAAACTCCTAACTTCAGGTGATCCACCAACCTTGGCCTCCTAAAATGCTAGGATTACAAGTGTGAGCCACCAAGCCCAGCCATAGAACCATCTTTATTCAAAAGTTTCAGGGCTCAGGCTCTCTCACCCGTCCCTCCCTAAAACTGGGGCAGTCAGGGCCTCACTCCCTGTGGATTAGTAAAAACATATCATCTATTTTAAGTGCTGACTGTCATCTGAAAGTCATAGGATTCTGTGAAGAAGGAAGAAGCAAGGGATACATATATTTATAGTGGAACCTTCTCTATGTTCACATAAATAAACTTGTATATTTGTACATGTTTATGGGAGCATAGAGAATGATGTGGAAGGATTTAATTCAAGCAGCAGATGTTTACCTGAAGGAACAGAACTGAGGAAACAAACGGGGAGATGTTACATTTTTTCAATACTTCTTTAAGGGTTAGCTGCCTTTATCTGTCATTTCTATGCCATGACTCCTAAATCAATCTCCTCAACTAGAATTTTTCTCCAGAACTTTCAATGCAACATCAGAAACATAGCTGCCCTACCCAAATGCTTCCTGTTTCTTTGAAGAGTGCCATACTATTCCTAGTCTCAGAAGCCCAGTCTTGAACTCAGATTTCTCTTTTCCTGCCCAACCCCACCCTTAGCCGCTCTGCCTGCGGGCCCTCCTTTCCAATCATCCTAGCGCAGGTTCTAACTGCATGATTTCTGCCAAATTGCTGCAGGACCATCTCTGAAACCATGCCACCCCACACTCCAGTTTCCCCACTTCCTATGGCTCTTCCGATGCCTCTAAAGTAAAGCTCTGATCCTTTCAACCACTCACCTGTTTTAAAATCCTTAAAATCCTCCACATGGCCTGCTGAATAAACTCCACTCCACTCTCACCCTGGTATTTAAGGCCCTCACTGTATAGACTTCAACTTCATCTCTACTGTCCCCTTGCACCCATCTGCACACCAGCCAGCTCCAAGCTCTCCCTTAGGAAGATAAGCACAATGATTTTTTACTAGCATGCCTTTGCTCATTCTTGGAATACTCCTCTCTGCCCTATCACTGCCTATGGAAATTCTATCCATCCTTCAAAGTTCATGTTAAATGCCATTGTTTGATAACTAAACGTGCTTTATCCTTCCTCCAAGTGACCATAGCACTCATTAGGTCTTCTTGGGGTCTCATGTTACTCTATGCTGCTATAGTCATTTCTGAATGTCTCTTGTCTACTGTTCTACATCAAAACTTTACTGGAAGAGACTAACCTAATCTTCAATAGATTCCTTGATTACCTAATAGTGTTTGCATACCTAGCAGTACTTAGTACACATTGTAGATACTACACTAACATTTGTGACCTAGATGGGGGTTGACCCGTATCTGCAGATAAATTAAAAAAAAAAAAAAAAAATAGGGAAGTAACACTTATTGAGTAACCATTGTGTTCCAGGAAATGAACTAAGTATTTTATGTGTTTATTTCATTTTAACATAAATGTAAACCTTATGTAGCTATAAACAAAAATAATCTGAATATGCCAGATTAAATTATACTAGAAACTCCTATAAAACAACCTAATCAGCTGACATTTCTGCACATCTACTTATTATGATTAGCATTGTTTAAAAATAATCATCATCAGGCAGTGAAAAATTATATAGTGCATATTTCCAAAGAACGATTGATTTGATTTCTATGGGCTCTTAAAAATTATATAATGCTATGATATATGCAAGATAGTTTACGGCTGGGTATATTTTACAAAATTGTATACCATATCATTAAATTAATACTATTGACCATATTATTTAATTGATTTGAATATTCCATGTTCTGATTGTACTGGTTACTAGCATATACATAATTTCTTATTACTCCAACACTGTGATACTGAGAAAATGATATTTACTTACAGAGGAATACTTACAAGTCTAAATATACAAGGAAAATAGCACCAGAAACAAGTAGCTCTTACATTAAAACAATTTTGGGGCTATTCTGAACTTATCTTTATTCTATAAAAAGAAAATAAACTGTTTTCAGCTGAAAAATTCCCATATAGCACTGATTTACATATATATAACGTTCCCTTACAGTGCCTTATAGCCCCCTTCCAAAATTTAATACTTCAACTTTTTTTGTTTATTTTTTCCCAGTTGTACACAGTACCCTGAAATAACAAAAGTTACTTTCAGGTTTTAGAAATAAATTAAAATTGGAAAAAATTGTCTCAAATAAAGATATAAAACTTACCCACAAAGAAGTCAGAGATGGCCAAGTTAAGAAAAAAGTAACTACTTCGATGTCTAAGGTTTTTGTCCACCACAAAAGCTAAAATAACCACAGCATTTCCTAGCATTATAGCAAAAGCTAGTAAGGACATAAAAAATGCTAAAGTAATATGAGCACTTAGTGATGAGTTAATTGTGCTATTAGTATCTGACATCACATCAAATGATGAAGAAGATCAAATTAGCAAATTAATCCAGCCAGACAATTCCGACAAGTATGTTTTCGAATCAGATACCTAAAATATATAGTCTTCTACTCAAAACAACACTGTTTTAATCTAATGCTGATCTCAAAATACTTCCTGATTCTTGATAAAGCAAACTGTGGTAACAGTTTCCCTTTAACTGATACTGAAAAAGTACTTACAAAAAACAGTGAAATGTTTTACCTTAAACATCTTACTGTGATTCATTCATCTCCCATTATTAAAATAAAATTATATAATATCTATAAAATGTAATAGATATATAGGTAATAAATTGGACTCGCGTGAGGTTCATTTTTGTTGTTTTTGTTGTTTTTTGGAGACAGAGTCTTGCTCTGTTGCCCAGGCTGGAGTGCGGTGGCATAATATTGGTTCATTGCAACCTCTGTCTCCCAGGTTCAGACAGTTCTCCTGCCTCAGCCTCCTGAGTAGCTGGGATTAAAGGCACACATCACCACACCTAGCTAATTTTTACATTTCTAATAGAGATGGGTTTTTACCATGTTCACCAGGCTGGTCTTGAACTCCTGACCTAAAGTGATCCACCAACCTTGGCCTCTCAAAGAGCTGGGATTACAGGCATGAGCCACTGCACCCGGCCATTTTTAAAACTCATGTAGATTCAGTTAAATATTCTCATCTGGACACCATGGAGTAACAGGGGCTGAATTTCACTGTCCCATCTGAAATAGCCAAAAAATTAGACAATGGTTTTCAAGGCACTTGTCATTAACAAGGAAGAACAGTGATCCCTGAGAAAAGGGATGAAGCCTGCAGTTGGCCCAGCTTACTGTCATGAGAGTTCCTAGGGCATGGGTAGAGAGGGGAAATCCAGGCAGAGCCCAGGAGACTCCTGGGATGAGAAAATGGAGTTGAGAGTACAGGAGTACCAGAGAGGAGTCTGAACTGCAGAGCTGCACTGAGACAGAACTCCAGAAATCTGCAGAGGACCCCCCTCAAGTATTCACCAGAGTACTGATTAGCACAGTGTGGAGGAAATGCTTTCAGGCAAAAAAAAGAACCACTCAAAAAGATTAGAGGGACTAGTACCCAATGCTCACAGAGGGCTGGCTGTAGTGCCTGCTCCCATTAGCCAAATGGAAAAAGCTCATAATTCACGGGACATTGGGTAGTATGCTCAGAAGTGTCTTGCCTCAGCAGTCAGGAATAATTAACCCTATACTAAATATTCTTGGGTTATTCCTAGGAAATCTTAAAAGTAAAAGCTGAAAGGATCAAACTGTTTCCAAGTAGCTTAATTGAAACCCTGAACACAGTTCAAGAATATTTATATAACATAAAAATATCCAGTACCCAACAATATAAAACTTACAATGTCTTAAATCCAATTAAAAATTATCTGACATGCCAAGAAGCAGGCAAATGTGACCCATAATGAGGAGGAAAAAAATCAATCAATGGAAATCAACTCAGAAATGACACAGGTATTAGAATTAACAGACAAAGACATTAAAATAGATGGAATATGGAAAAAGGAAAATGTAATATAGCTGTATTCCATATTTTCAAAAAGATATGTAAAGATATAGAAGATTTTTCAAACATCTAGAAATAAAAACTAGAATGTCTGGACTAAACCAACATTGGAAAGGATTGATGGCAGATCAGAGATTGCATAAGATAAGATTAGTGAACTTGAACACATAATGATATAATCCATCTACAATGAAACACAAAGATAAAAGAGATTTTTTTCTTAATTAACAGGGCATCACTAAGCTACTGGACAACTTCAAGTGACTTCATGTATGTGTAACAGGAGTCCCAGAAGGAAAGGAGAAAGGAAGGGACAGGAAAAAAAAAAAATTTAAAGAATCAATGGTTAAAACCTTTCAAAACGTGATGAGAACTATAAACCAAGATGCTCAATGAACCCCAAACACAAGAAACAGAAAGAAAACTACACAAGGCATTTCAAATAAAATTGCTCAAAACCAGTGTGAAAAAGAAAAGCTTAAGAAAAGCAGGGGTTGTTGGGGACACATAACATACAAAATAAGAAAGATATGGGTGTCAGCAGGTTTTTCATCAGAAGCAAGAGAAGCAGAAAAACAGTGACTGCAATATCTTTCAAGTGCTGAAAGGAAAAAACAAACCTGTCAACCTTGAATTCTATATTTAGTTAAAAAAAAAAACTTTTAGAAACAAAGACAAAATAAAGGATTTTAAGATATATGAGAGCTGAAATAATTCACCACCAGCAAACTTGCACTATAAGAAATGTTAAAGGAAGTCTTCAGACAGAAGGAAAATGATGCCAAATGCAAAAATGACTTTACACAAGGGAAGGAAGAGCAACAGAAATGGAGATTTATTTTCTTGCTGGCCCTCTTAATAGAACATAAATTAATGGCAGAGACTGCACTTTGTTTCATTTTGTTACTTTTTTAAGTATGACACACATACAAAAAGTGTACAAATCATAAATTGATAATTGATTAATTTTTACAAGCTGAACATAACCATGTACCACCACCCATATCAAGAAGCACCTCAATATTTTCCTTTTCCAGTTACTCAGCCTTCATGGGTAAGCACTATCTGGGCATCTAAAAACATAAATTAATTTTCCACACTTTAATTTTATAAATGGAATTGTAAATTCAAAAATTATATAAAATACTTCTTCATATATATTCATTCTGTGTGATCCATGTTTGGTTTACTAAATTATTTAAAAATCTTTACATTATGGTCTATTATAATTTATTAATGTCATTTGCTTATAAATTGATTAAAATGAAGAGAAAAAGTAATTATTGTATTAGTCTGTTTTCACACTGCAATAAAGACATAATTTATAAAGAAAAGAGGTTTAATTGACTCACAGTTCTGCATGGCTGGAGAGGCCTCAGGAAACTCACAGTCATGGTGGAAGGGGAAGCAGGCACATCTTACATGGCAGCAGACAAGAGAGAGCATGTGAGTGCATAGCATGGGGGAATTACCCCCATAATCCAATTACTTCCCTCCCTCAACACATGGGGATTACAATTCAAGATGAGATTTGGGTGAGGACATAGCCAAACCATATCAATTACATTTTCCCTTCCTTAATAATTTCACTGAAGAAAAAAAAAGACTATTCTTTCTCATGTGCCAATCATAACCTGAGCCAGAAGCTGCTTTACTGGATAATTCCAACTGATATGTATTCATTAGATATCCATTTCAAAAGCAGGAACAGGACTAGATTTCTTTTAAAGGCAAATACCTGAGTTCAGAACCTACATCTTTTTTCAGTTTAAAATGCCAGAGGAGATTTTAAACTGGGGAGAGAGATCCAAGATGGCTGATCACTAGCAGCTCGGGATTGCAGCTCCCACTGAAAGAGCAGAGAACGAGAGGACGCCACACTTTCAGATCAATTTTTGTTGCTCACACACCAGGAGATTCCCAGCGGAGGAGCCCCACGTGTCGCCAGCGTGACTCTTGAGGCCGGTGAGGCGGTTTTGCCGCTGCCTTGGTGTGGCGGTTCTTGGTGCAGAGTCAGAAAAGCACCATCAATCTTAAAGCCGCTGTTTTGGCCGGCGCAGTGGGTTGCTCAGATTCTAGCGCCGGGAATCAACAAGTTGGATGTCCATTCAGAAACCCAACTATAAAGACGGTAATTATAAAGACCACAGATGGATAAATTTACAATGAAGGGAAGAAACCAGCCTAAAAAGGCTGAGAATACCCAAAATCAGAATGCCTCTCCCTTTACAGGGGATCACAGTTCCTCATCAGAAACAGTACAAGGCCTGATGGAGAAAGACTGTGTTCCATTAGCAGAAGCTGGCTTTAAAAAGTGGATGATAAGAAACTTCTGGGAATTAAAAGAACTTGTTTTAACCCAATGCAAAGAAACCAAGAACTTTGAAAAAAGGTTTGAAGAAATGTTAACAATAACACACAATTTAGAGAGGAATATAAGTGAATTAATGGAGCTGAAAAATACAACACGAGAACTTCGCGAACTATGCATAAGTTTTAACAGCCAAATTGATCAAACAGAAGAAAAGATATCAGAGGTCGAAGACCAACTTCATGAAATAAAACAAAAAGACAAGATTAGAGAAAAAAGGATAAAAATGAACGAGCAAAGTCTCCAAGAAATATGGGACTATGTGAAAAGACCTAACCTACGTTTGATAGGTGTACCTGAATGTGACGAAGAGAATCAATCCAAGCTGGAAAATACACTTCAGGATATTATTCAGGAAAACTTTCCCAACCTAGCAAGGCAGGACAATATTCAACTCCAGGAAATACAGAGAACACCACAAAAATATTCCTCAAGAAGACCAACCTCAAGGCACATAATCGCCAGATTCACCAGGGTTGAAATGAAAGAGAAAATACTGAGGGCAGCCAGAGAGAAAGGTCAGGTTACCCATAAAGGGAAGCCCATCAGACTCACAGCAGATCTCTCAGTAGAAACCCTACAAGCCAGAAGAGAGTGGGGGCCAATATTCAACATCCTTAAAGAAAAGAACTTTCAACCCAGAATTTTACATCTAGCCAAACTAAGCTTCATAAGTGAAGGAAAAATAAAATCTTTTGTGAACAAGCAAGCACTCAGAGATTTCATCACCACCAGGCCTGCTTTACAAGAGCTTCTGAAAGAACCACTACAAATAGAAAGGAACAACCAGTATCAGCCTTTCTAAAAAATACCACAAAAATAAAGAACATAAACATAATTAAGAAATTGCATCAACTAATGGGCAAAACAGCCAGCTAACATTAAATGACAGTATCAAACACACATATATTGTTATTAATTCTAAATTTAAATCGACTAAATCCCCCAATCCAAAGACACAGACAGGCAAAAAAAGCCAAGACCCATTGGTATGCTACATCCAGATCCATCTCACATGCAAGGATACATAAAGACTCAAAACAAAGGGATGGTGAAAAATTTACCAACCAAATGGAGGGCTAAAATAAATAAATAGAAAGCAGGAGCTGCAATTTTTGCTGATAAAATAGATTTCAAAGCTACAAAGATCAAAAGAAGCAAAGAAGGATATTACATAAAGATAAAAGGATCAATGTAACAAGAAGAGCTAAAGATCCTAAACATATATGCACCCAATACAGAAATACCCAGATATATAAGACTTACAAAGAGACTTGGACTCCCACACAATAATAGCGGGAGACTTATTAGATAGATCAATGAGACAGAATGTTAACATCGATATCCAGGACTTGAACTCAGATCTGGAACAAGTAGACTTAATTAACATTCATA